CCAGGTTGCCTGTGGAAAAACATGCCCCCGATTAAAAAAAAAAAAAAAAAAGGACAATTAGCTCATCTTGGTTGGGAACCATTTCGGCTCCGAGCTCTTGCCAAATTATTTTTATTTATTTGTACTGAAGGAGCATCTGGGAGCCCGAGGCGGAGAGCGGTGCCGTGCCAGCCCCGTCCGAAGGGAGCCGGGGGGCCGAGGATAGCCGGTCTCTGCCCCAGATGGCACCGTTTTGTGGTCACACACACACACGATTCTTTCTGTGGGTTAGGATTTTTGGGGTTTTTTGTGTTTTTAACCCTTTTTTTTTTTTTTTTTTTTTTAATAAAAGGGCTCTGCTAAAGAGAACAGGTACCAAAGCCAAATGCCCGGGAGTTCCAGAAGGCACTGTGATTCACAGCAGAGCTGTAAAGCATTGTATAAATCAGCCTGAATTATTTTATTACCCGATTATCAAAAGCAAACAAAGAGCCACGCAAGTTATTAAATATCTATGAGCGCCCCATTAAAATAAAACCCAACCATATGCCTCAACCTGGCAACCTGCCACCAACCCGGGGTTCCACCAGTGCCACGTGTCCCATTTTAACCAGTTTATGACTTGCTGGGGACCAGGGAAAAAGGGCAAGGGTGACAATGACTAAACCGAGGGGTCACTTCTGCCTTTCCCCAGACCCGGAGGAAGGAGAAGATGGCGAACGCCGACGTCGGAGGAAGACGCGAGCGAGCGACGCTCCCGTTGCGGGACGTCGCGTTCAACGGGGCTGCGAGAAACCTCGCAAATCACCCGCGTCCCTCCCTCCAGCATGGCAGGAGAGACTCTCCCTACATCAGTCCTGACGGCTGTTTGTCCAGCCTGCTCTCCCTCCTTCCACCATCAATCCCAGCGTTTGCTTTTCACTCGCCCGGCCGCCGACGCTTTGTCCGAAACCTCCTCCTTTGCTGCGTTTTAAGACCTCTCAAAGGAGGAAAAATTGTGATAAAAAGGGTAAATCCGGGCGTCTACGGCTGCTCCGGAGTGGGGTGCGGCTCCGGCAGGTCGCTCTGCGCCGATTTACGTTGATTTACGCTGATTTACGCAGGGGGTTTTTGCTGGCGGTAACCATTTCCCTGCTCTCTTAAGCAGCGATGCTGCGCTGGGAAATCACAAAGGAGAAGGGGATTAACATGCAGGAAAAGTTTCAAACCACTTAAAGTACCTCCAGGGATAGTCCCTGCTGTGCTTATGGTTTTCATTAACGTGTGCTGGTGTCCGAGACCACCCTGGGAACTTGGGAGGAGAAAACAGCAGCAATTTGGGCTCCATGAGGCCAAAAAAAAAAAATCTCGGGAAGGCGACGGCGCAGCTCCGATCGGGTTCGGGGAGCGATGAACCACCTGGGGCCGGCGCCGTCGCCTGCGCAGGGATTTTCTAGGAGGGAAAAAGCTTTTCCCTTCATGTTTGAAACCACCTGGCTGCTGGTGGAAATATTTTGACTGCAGCCACCCTAAAGCTGCAAAAAAAAAAAAAAAAAAAGGAAAATATCGGGGCAGGGGGGAGAGCCGCAGGAGCTGAGCTGCAGCGCAAGCCCAGGGGGGGATGGGTGGTCTCGGGTTTAAAAAGCGAGCGGCTGGACCGCGGGCTGCTCCATCATTCCGGCTGGGAAACCACAAAGGAAAAGCGACCTTCTCGCAACGCTCGGGGGCTCGGGTTGGCGGAGAACAAAAGGAAGGGAGAGCGGAAAACGCGGCGGCGAGGCTCCGCGGTGATGAGAGAGATCCATTCCTGCCCTAAGAGCCCTGTTAGGAAGAGAGAGGCTGAAAAGACAATTTTCAGTTTGAATTCTGAATTCCTCCGGTCCCCATTCTCGGCGAAGATTTATGCGCCTTTGCTCCCGCGTGCGGTTTATTTCCGAGCAGCGCCGTGTTGGCCATCCATCAATGTAGTCAACGTACGTGGCAGCCCAAGAGCCCCAGACGCATCTGCTGCTCCTCCGGTCCCGCAAAGGGCGAGGAAAGGGGGGAAAGGGGGGGGAAACGCCCTTAAT